CACTTGAAGGGAGTGTTCACAGCCACAGTCCCTGCAAAAAGGTGTTGCACAGAAATGGAGAGGGATCTTGGCTCTAAAGACGTGGTTTGGTTTCCTGGACCAAGCCAATAACCCCGTGTGCACTTGCATCGATCCTGCTTGTCTTCCTTATTTATTCCTCTCTTTCATCCCTTCCGCTCCTTAACACAAAGCCAAACAGGGCACTCTCCCTTCCAGAGGAGATTTTAGCCTCATCACTGGGATTTCAGCCCAGCACTGTTTTGAGCCGTCGGGTAAAATCCACCCTGTATCTCTGCAGTGGTCTGAGCTTTTCCCGTTTCCTCACCAGTGCCAGTGGGAAACACCATTCCCACAGCCCTGTTTATCTGTAGGGTGCTGGTGATAGATAACATTCTTTGCCATTTTCCCCACACCTCTGGATGTGAGGCAAGAGTAAAACCACCTGGTTAGGAGAGGACTGAAGTGAATTCCATTAAAGAACCATTTATAGGAGTTTTTCCCCCTCAAAGGACTGTCTTAGGGATCACTGGGCCAGATCCTGAGAGGCAAGAGATGAGACAATGAGGTTGTGCATGTCCATTGTGTTATCCATGCTCAAGGCATTCAAAACTTTCTGGATCACCCATGCCATTTATACAGTAAATGTCTGGGATCAGCACAACTGCTCCTCAGGCCACAGTAGATCACAGCAGCACCTTCCAGGATCTCCACGCAGGACACCAGAAGGACAGGACAAAGCCGTATTGTTTTCCCATCTCTTTGGCTCTCTCTTGGCAGACAGAAGGAAAAAGGCCAGTGGTGGTCACTGTGGGCCAGCTTTATCACCTTGGGATGTTTGCTGGACTGGTGCCACAGCCCTAGAGCTCTCTTTGCCCTTTGCCTGTGTCCTACCCAGAGTCCTGCACTGCCACAGCCTCTGAAGGTCACACAGGACATACACAGAGCTGCAGGTTGGGGCTGAGCTAATCTGGGGGAAGTCTTCCCTGTATTCCTGCAATGCTCATTTATCACATGGGGATTATGGAATTCTCTGCCTGCTGGGGCAGGTGGAGGGTGGGATAACACCTGAGGTGCCCGTTGCAGGAGCTGTAGAAATGCCAAGTGTCCCGGGTGAGGTGTTGGATGAACCGGGAGGAAATTGGTTCCTGCTGCCGAGCCAGAGTCCCTCCATCCAACATCCAGCAGATAAGGACAGGGCTGGGCAGAAAGGCAGCGGGGAAGCACATGGGACAGGTGACCCTCCTCCTGAAGCCCTTCTGGCTGGGGGAGTTTACCTGTGCAAGGCAAAGGATCCCCCTTGATCCAAGAGTCAGTCACAGATCTCCCTGCAGGCATCACTCACAGGATCCCAGAATGGTTTGGGTTGGAAGGAACCTTCAAGCCCATCCAGTCCCCCCACCACCATGGGCAGGGACACCTTCCACTAGCCCAGGTTGCTCCAAGCCCTGTCCAACCTGGACTTGGACACTTCCAGGGATGGGGCAGCCACAGCTTCCCTGGGCAACTTGTGCCAGGACCTCTCCCCCCTCACAGGGAAGAATTCCTTCCTAAAGTGTATCAGTATTAGCCCAGCCCAACCAGAGCCAGATTTAAGCAAAGACTAATAAAGATGCATCATGGAAAGCTCTGCAGCTTTGAGTAAATAAACCCAAACCCCCTATTTTTCTTTAAATACCCACACTCCCTGGATAGCTGTGGCCCAAGACTGACTCTGTTGTGATCTGCAGCCTGGATCTTTAATTCTTCCTGTGTTTCAATCAAAACTAAGCGCTAGGAAAGGAGATTTCAGTGTTTTGGCACCCTGCTGTCCCCGGAAAGCCAGGCTGGTTCCAGACCTCATGGTTTTATTTGCCAGGAGGAAACACAAAAATAAAAGTTTCCATGGGTGTGGGGGCCAGGTAGAAGCCAAGGAGACAGAAGGGATTTCAGGAGAAGGAACAAGCAGACTTCTTAAGGAAAGGGACAGGAAAGAGAATATGCAGTAACTCCCCATTTCTTGCCCTGGGCAGATTCTGGGCAGTCACTTGAATGACATGGTGAGACAAAATAGAGGCACTTTGTTCTAGTTCTGCGACTCTCGGAGGTAATGCAGAAATCCCCCCAGGGAAAATCAACAGAGGGAGGGGAAACATCTGCATTTCTCCCTGTCCCTGGGCTTGCTACTGTCTGGAAAAGGCTGCAAAGGGCTAAAGGGGCCTTTGCTCTCTGCAGTCACCAAGGGCAGGTGATGGAAAGTTGGGCTATGCAGAGTTTTGAGGTTTTGGCCAGTCCCCAACATTTCCAAGGGCTTCTCCAAATATTTTCTCAGGGATTCATGCTGAGATCTCCCTTGACCGGGACATGTGCAGCTTCTTTGAGCTTGGAGGAAGGGCCAAAGGCATTGGAGGGGATCCCAGAGAGTCTGAGGGCAACAAGCTGCAGCCCTGACCACTGCTGCAGCTCCAGGGGCTGTTTTCCTACCTGGAACAGAGATCTGCACTAGCCTCCCTCTGGAAACCTCATCCCCCTGGTGTTCCTTCCCTTCCTCGCAGACTAGCAGCTCCCAGTGCAGCTCCAACCCTTCCTCTCAGGGCTGGAGACATTTGCCTGCCCTAATATAAACCCCCTTTGTTTCCAGACCACCCACTTCAGCCTTTTCCACTCCCGTTAAAAAAGGGATGCCTTTTAAGGGATGCCTTAAACTCCAGATCTGCCTCCATCCCACACGGGTGCAGTGCTCTCATTTCCATCAGTGTCATCTATTTACACGAGAAATGCCTGGGCAGGAAATTGAGGTTACTGAGAGAAGAAAAGTGCCTCACATCAGCCCCAAATCCCTGCAGGATGCGCTGCCTGTGCCCTACCCCAGACCTTGCCCCACATTCCAAGTAGGACAGACTGCAATTAAAGCCCCCAGCAAACAGAAAATGCCACTGAGCCTTCCCTGCGAGCCCGAGGTGGGAAGTGGCTGTGCCGCAATGTTAATTCTTTTATTCAAGGTCACTCTGGAATGGCTGAGCAGGGAGCTGGGCTGGGTGTCCGAGGCCTTTCCCCCTGAACTATCCTCACTCCACCTCTGAGTCAGTGCTGGTGGTGTAGGAGACCCTGGCTCAGAGACCTGCAGTCTCCAGTCAGCGTTCCCACCAACAAACCACTTCTACTTGGGAACAGCCACCACTCCAGGGCTATCAGGAATCAGCCGCAGAGGCAAAACACTGTTGTGTTTTCAGCCACAGAGACACGAGGTGTGAAGTACTCGTGTTCTGCCAAGATCAGCACACACCAGGCCTAAAGAGTGTTAGAAAAGTGCTAAAAAGCTTTAGCAATCAGCTTTAATCCAGCGTCTGTCCACCCTGGCCAGAGCAGGCATCTCTTTCCAGCGTGTCTGGGGTGTCTGTGGGTGCTCAGCACACTCCTGCAGCCATGGGCAGGATTGCCACCACTGCTCAGCCCTGTGGCTTCAGGAGAGGGCCAAGAGGGGCTCCGGGTAAAAGCTCTTCTCCGCTGGCCAAGGAGAAAGGGGAAATCCCCCAGGCAGATCCCATAGAAAGGCAGTGCCTGTTCTGGAGACACCTGCTGGCAATGCCTGTGGAGCTGGAGCTGATCCTTGCTCGTCTCTTCCCATGGAAGGCAAGGAGAAATAAAAGTGTAAGAGATACAGGGGGAATGTGGAGGAAAGGCTCACAGTGCCAAGGTGGGACCCAAAGGGAAAACATGCTGCCCCTGCACGTGTCCCAGGCCCTGATCCCAACTCTGATTTTAGGACAGCCAAAGAAACGCCTAATTCCCACTAGATGTGAGCTAAATCAAAGAAAGTTGGAATGGGAGCATTCCAGGGGCTAGAGGGGCTGGCTGGAAATCCCAACCTGTTCTAGGCAGGACAAATCCAGGCACGAAGCTGCACGTCACACACAGGGGCATTTGCAGGAATCCTGGCAGGCAGTGCCTGGAATACATGTTGACTCCTGTCAACTCACCTCTTCACCAAAAGATCCTGGTTTTAATACATTTGGAAAGTGACAGAATGAGTTCCTATCAGGACAGACATTTTCTAGGAATTAGCCTCTTTAAATGTGAAATTTGTTAAATGAGGCCACGTGTTCTGTGTTCAGAGAAAAGGGGAGAACAAGAGAGAAGCCAAATCCCTGAGAAGGTATTAAGGAGAGCTTTGAGTGAACCACAGAGAAATTCAGATGAATATACACTTCTTTAAAACCCAAGGATGTCCTCTGCTGGCCAGGAGGATGTTTCCAGTTTGGATGCTCCCAGATCACTCTGGGCCTGGATAGTTCCTCCTCTACCATTCAAGCAATTTAAAGGAATCCCTGGCCAAGGGCCGATTAAACAGCGAGTAAGAGCTGGCAGGGTCAGTTCCAGGAGGATTATGTTCAATAGCCTCATGGAATACCAAGCAATTTTTTCCCTAATTGCTCTTTACTGCTGCTTTTCAGTAAGAAATGCAGGAAGTAATAAGGATTTGTTGCCTCATAGAAATACTATACAAAAAACTGAGGTTCCTGGCTGATCCCAACTGCCTTTCCTACCTGTAGCAACAGCCCTTTACTGTGGCTTGCCAGGAAAATCAAGAAAGGAAACTGAAAGCATCCCAGAGCACAGAGGGTTCTTGTGGAGGACGAGTCAGAGGGCTGTCATGTCCAAACTGGTGGGTTGTGGTTGGATTTTTCCTTCTGGCCTTCTGCCAATCTTCTCAAAACACTCCTCATCTCTCCAGCCCTCTTCCAAAAGCTTTCCTAATTGTTCCTTTTCCAGGGATTTCATTTATACAAGGTTTAATTTGCTCCACAAATGGTGCTGAATCAAAAGATGAGCAGCACGAAGGAATACAACATGAACATGCACTTTACACACTCAATTTTCCAATCCTTCTAACAAAAGCTAATAATATTCCAGTTGAAGCTGGAATCTCAGAGATTACAAGAAAACTGTAGAGCTGTAATTCTCAGACCCTGATTCACAGATAAACAATGAACACTTGTTTTCTTCTTTTTTTTTTTTTACAGAACAAAGGAAAAAATACTCCAATTCCAACATCATTATGCACGAGACTTCCCAGTACCATGTCCAGGTGAGCACACAATGGAGCACTGAGGGGCTGGGAGGCCAAGGTCAGTGATAGGTCCCGGTCATGCAGTGTGTTCCCTGTGTCCTGGACCTTCACGGGGCCAGAGAGCAGTTGGGAATCTCCTTACAATTAAAGTCCTGAGTAACTGGGTAGAGGAGGATGGCGGGGGGGATACTGTTAAAAAGGCAAGGGGAATTCTGTACAAGGAAAGAGGAAATGGAGAAGCTGCTGCCCTCTCCCTCCTCTGTGTCCATCCCTCCCATCCCCCTGTGCTTCAAACCCTCCTGATCAGCACAGAGAGGTTAAAAGCAGAGTTCCCATGGTGGTTACAGGAACTCAACTTCCCAAACCACAGAGACCACATGGACTATCAGCTTTCAGCTCTCCCCAGCTACTTGTCCTCTCAAGTAACTCAAAGCCCTCCACACACTCAGGCAATAAGCCAAACCCATCTCCCAGTGTCAGGCACCCTGTCCATGGAGAGGAGCCAGCCTGGCCATCCTGGGCTCGGCCATTCCTGAGCACAGCACGCTGGGACAGGCCAGGACACCGTGGGCACAGAGGTGGCCGCTCATCACTGCTAACCGGGCAAGGCGAGGAGGGAAGACACTTCATGAGGTTCATATTTAGTACATGGGGCCCTTTAAAACTCTAAATTTAAACTTTTAAAATGCCTGTTTGGAAGGAGGTCCTGGTTTGCATCGGAGAAACCAACTCGATGGCCCAGCAGTCACTCACGGAGGCAGAGACAGGACTTTACACAGTGCAGGAATTCCTCAATAATTAGGCCATATGCCACCCGTTCACAAGTCTCTCCCCTGAACTTTGACCAAGGCCAACAGAATTCCAGTAGCAGGCACTGACACAGAATGAGGTTTCCTCACAGAAGGCATTTTACACCCTTTGAAATAATCTGATCAAAGTTTAATGGTGGATGGACTCATTGCCCATTCTTACAAAAGCTGCTGTATTTGAATATCAAGGTTTTAATGAGATAAAGTTAAGACAGCAGAAAACTTCTGCCCCTCAATCCACCCACATCTACAGAAAATGGAAAATGAAAATGAAAAATATTCTAATGAGTGAGTCTGACAAGCAGTTTCCCCTCCATGAAAATTAGCTTAACAGTAAACAGTAAAGGAATTTATGAAGCTTGTAAAGCTGGTGGATAAAATAATAGAAGAGATAAGAACACCCGTCATCCCATGTAAACCATTCTCCTCACTGCTCCAAAAGCAGAGGCCTGTCACCTCTGCACAGATAAGACTGACTTGGCAAATACCTTTCTGTGCACTGTTTTACAGTTCCAGTAAGACAGCCCAGTGTGTTTTCATACGTGACTGCATTGCTAATCTCAGCTCAGGCTCACACACCTGCCAGCAGTTTTATTTAGTCAGTGCCTCACCCCATACCTGTGCTTAGGGAACACGCAACGGGTCTGCACCCTGCAGAGCTTGCCCTCTTCTCTGCTCCTTCCTCCAGGATTTGGGAATCATCCAACAGCAAATGGGGCACCGCAAACCCTATCCATCCCTAATTCCCACCAGCACTAGCACCAGAAAGAAGCTGCTTGACCCCTGAAAAGCTTATGTCTGATCACTGGGAGAAGGGAGGAAGACATGGGATCAGAGGGAGAAAAGCCAGGCAAAACTCATCTCTGTACTCCAAATTTCAGATTAATTTACGACTTGCTGTACAACACACCCCATTTTTCCAGCTCTTCCTTTGAAACCAGGCTGCAGGGCTTGTGCTTCAGAGAGAAGCAGGAGTTCACACTGCTGCCAGCTGGGCAGTGAAGGAACAAGGTGAAACAGGACCAGTTCCTTTTCCTTCCTGATTTTTTCCCCTTCCCTGTTGTCATCTGGACACGTGGCCTGGCTGTGCTGTCATGGCACAAGGACGACAGCTCGGCAAACAGCCAGGCTGCTCTGAGTCCCAGCTTTTCCTGCCTCACAGTCCCCTCTGCTGGCAGACACAGCCAGTTCTCCGGTCCGCGGGGAGCAGCGCTTGCTCCTGCCTGCTGCTGAGCAGTTACCTGGATTTTTGGAGTGGCCTCCACGCACTGCTGGGAGGCACTAGCACCATTTGGATGTGACACATCTCTCCTTTCCACAGCTGCCTCGTTGCCCTTCCCTGCCCAGCATGGAAGCTCTCCAGAGGGGCTGTTCCCAGAGCAGGGGACCCCACACAGCACACTTGGCACAGAGGATTGACACTCGCCCATGGCTTGTGTGAGCTCTTTGCCTGGCACAAATCCCACACAGGCAGGTCTGCTATGCCAGACAAGCAAATTCCAAGTGTTTTTAGCTTGGCAAGTGAAGCTTAACTACTGTATTTAAATTTCCAAGCCAGTTTCAGAAAGGCCAGGGCAGTAACTCGTGTGTAGGAAGCATTTGCCCCGCTGGATGGGGGCCAGAGCTGCTGGAATTGAGGAGATTAATATGCAAGTGGTGAAACTGGTTATGCAAACCCATTACAAAACCCAATCTTTCACTGCCATGGCCAGGCTGGTACCACCAACCAGAACTGCTTTGTGCAACAACTCCTTCACGCCTGAGCTCTGAAGAACTACAAACAGTAGCTGAAGCCTTTAGAGATACTTTCACCACTGATTTACACAGTTTTCTGTGTAAATGTTTTCTACCTGTTTTTTCCTCCTTACCCTCCCCATCTTCAGCACTTGGCCACCTTCATCATGGACAAGAGCGAGTCCATCATGACGGTGGATGATGCCATCAGGAAACTCATCCTGCTCAACTCCAAAGAGAAGATCTGGACGCAGGAAATGCTGCTGCAAGTGAACGACAAGTCCATCCGGCTGCTGGACTGCGAGACAAAGGTACCTGGGGCTCTGTGCGAGCTGTGGGGTGCAGTGGGTGCCCTTCCTGTTCTACCTGGAGAAGGCAAGTTCTAAGGAACCCAAACAAGGGTGAATCACTACCAAAATCCACTCCTGGATTAGAGCCAGCCCTGCAGCATGGGAAAGGGATGGTTTTAGCAATGACAAACTAAAGATCAGGACGGGGATCCCAGGAGTTCCTGCACAGGACCACTCCCCCTCAGTTCAATAGTTCCCATTGCCTGACACCTTCCTCCTCCTCTTCCAGGAGGAGCTGGAGGACTTCCCTCTGCCGACAGTGCAGCACTGCCAGACAGTGCTCAACCAGATGCGCTATTCCTCCATCCTGCTCCTGGTGTGCCAGGATTCGGAGCAGCACAAACCTGACATCCACTTCTTCAACTGTGATGAGGTGGAGGTGAGCAGAGCACTCCTCGTTTGTCTCACTGCCTGCCAGCCCCTTCCTGCTTTGCCCTCAATCCTTCCCAGAGACAAGTCCCTACAAACATCCCTGTTTTCTCTTTGAGGCGGAGTTGGTTCATGAGGACATAGAAAGTGCCCTGTCAGACCACAAGCATGGGAAGAAGATACGGCCGCAGACACTCAAGTAAGTGCTGCGGGATACAGCTGGGAGTAACAAACCCAAAGCTGTTTCCAGTGGTGTATTCACACTCCAGTCTCTTGGAAACAGGATCAGCAGCCACTGACAGGGTTGCTCTGTGACCTTTTCCTTGCAGGGCACACCAAGAAAAGATCAAGCAGAGACAATCCATCCTTCCCCCGCCGCAAGGGCCGGCTCCCATCCCGATCCAGCATGACATGCGAGGCTCAGGGATGAACAGGAACAGGGTGGCACCTCCTTCCCAGCATGATCCAGGTACTGGGAGCACTCAGGAAGTCTGTCCTGGGGATGGGAAACTCATGAACCCAGACAGCCAACCCTCCTGAAGTGGTCTGTGGTATAAACAAGTGTTGCACTCACTGGGCATCTTCTGCTCAACAAACCAAAATTCCTAGAAACTCCTTGTAAAAACACCTATATTTGGGGGGTTCTGAAATTGCCCAAATAAGCAAAGACCCCCCCCATAAAACTGAGCTACCACATGAAGTTTGAACCAAGCATTAGTGATCTTAAAATGTACAGACAAGACAGACCTGGTCAGAAAGACAAGTTCCTGGCTCTGCTGACTTCACAGAAGCCAAGATTTCACCCTCAAAAATCAAGTAAACTCTTGTAAAGTCGAGTGTGGAAATGCAGTTCTGAACTCTCCCCTCATGTGCTAATCCAAAGACTGATTCCAAAAGCATCCTGACTTCAGCCCCTTTGGGCTGGCTTGAAAACAGAACAGAAACAAGCTCCTTCTCTGACAAAAGCTCAAACTGATGAGCAAACTGCAAGCATTTCTCATCCCTGCCTACCATACCACCTCTTAGGATTCATTCCTAGTTTCAAGGAAAACATATAATAGTATACTATAAGAAACTCCAAACCACTCCTTTCCTGGGACGGAAGCTCTGGCTCCGGAATGGAGAGCTTATTTCAGGCCCAGTTCTGCATCATGAAAGGAATATCTATGTTTCTGAGCTGGACCATGAATAAACACCTATATTCTGATGCAGAGCAGCCACCCTTATCTCTGCCCTTCCGAGGGAGCTCAGCACAGAGCTGAGCTTACACTGCTTCCATCAGCTGAGCTGGGAATTCACCCAGGCAGGATTTCTGGCTCTGAGAGCACAGAGCCTGGCACGAAAGCAGATGACAGGAGAAAGCTTCGAGTGATGCCTGTTCGCTGAGATCACTTCTCAAAACACGCCCTACTGCTTTTTCTACAAAACCTGTCAGAACTAATCACTTCAGCCCCACACTTACAGATGACGTGGGTTTTTCACGGTCCTTTGCCCAAGCTGCCTCCCAAGTTCTCCCACTCGGTGTATCCTGCTGTGCTGGCCTTTCAAACCACATTTCACTGAGCTGACAGAGTTTTCTTTTCACAAGGGGCCACCCCAGCAATTGTAAACGCTGAAATATCTCCCCTCACTGAGTGGGTGTCTCCTGGAAGCCAGGAGGTGCCTGCAGGTTGGGCTTTTTGCAGGATGATTGGTATTTTTAACACCCATTAAAAAAAGACTGCACACAAGTTTGTACAAAATTGCTGATTTGTGCACGGGCCTGCCTAAACATCCATCGTGCAGAATTCCTGGCATGCTGCTTTACAGCAGTTGTGTTCACTTCCAGGGCTTATCCCTTCTTTCTTAACTACTGTTCAGTTAAACTAGAACCTCTAGGAGAACGAAGGCTCCTGTGGAGATTAGAAGAGAGAGCAAAGTTAATCTAATCACACTTGACATCTTGTTCTTCAGTTCCTCAGCATAGATCCAGCAAAGGTACAGGAGTTGCTGACTCAGGGGCTGGCAGGTCTCTGCTGGTTGCTCCTCCTGATTCATTCCCTGTCCATACCTGAGAACAGGCAGAGTATTGACACAGGGGTTGGCAGGCAAGTGCTGTGACCTTGGAAGATTTAATCAGCAACCTTGATCACCTCCTGCTCCTTATGGTCTCCTGAGGTGCCCTCATAACCCAGAGTAAACACCCAAGTTGGGAGTTACCATCCCATGGATCCCTGCCTTTAATGGAGCCTGAAAAAGATAGGAAATATCTTTTTCTCTCCCTCGTTTGCAGACTATGAACGACGAAGCTCCAGCTCTCACGACCACGAAGAGTCTCGGGCCATGTTAGCACAGAAGATTGAAAAGGAAACGGTGGGTAACCAGGACAGTGCACAGCCCACAGGCAGGAGGAGAGGGAGAGCAGGGAGCAGACATTTAATGCATAATCTGGTCATTTTTCAAACTGATATCTGCTGTGCATAAAGATAAGGTGGCCAAAAGCAAAGCTCCATCACTGGGTTAGTTACAACATCCTCTGACCTGAGGCAGCTCTGCTGATTCCAGGTCTGCTCCTCCCCATCCCACAGCCCGGTCTTGGGTTATTTTCCAGCCGTCCATTAGCAGGGGTCACTTGTCACATTGATAAGTACAGCACCCAGCCAGGCCCAGCTTTGTGTTTGGAAAGTGATGAATTCAGCTTCATTTCATGCCTGGATTGTTGATTCCTGTGCATTCTTCCAGGAAATGTAGCAGGCTCTGGGATTCGGGCTCCCAGCTGGGTGCAGCCCAGGCTCACTTTCACCTTGGTCTCTTGGGTTTCTGTCCCCACAGCAAATCCTGAACTGCACTCTGGATGACATCGAAGTGTTCGTCGCCCAGCTGCAGAAGGCAGCAGAGGCATTCCGACAGCTCAACCAGAGGAAGAAAGGGAAGAAGAACAAGAAGAAAGGGCCAGCAGGTACAGTGCAGCAGCTGGAACAAACAGGGAATACAGGGACACAGGTGAAGGAGGGGGGACACCTCAGCTCATGCCCCAGCAAGGCCAGGTGGATGCAGCAGCACCATTATGGATCCAGCCATTTCGGAAGGTGTCACTGGTCCGTGGGGACCTCCTGGAGAGCACAGGGAGCCTGGTGAGGCCTCCAACACACAGAAAGACATTTGGCTTTCCCTGACCCCTAGATTTTTAGTAGTTCCAGGCTCAGCACCTGTTTTTGATGTGTTTTCTGCCCAGCAGGCAAATGAACCGTTCCCAAACAGGGATTCTGTAATTAACATGTCCTTCTGTGCCCCTTCTCCTGGCAGAGGGAATGCTGACTCTCCGAGCAAGACCCCCGAGTGAGGCCGAGTTCATCGACTGCTTCCAGAAAACCAAACTGGCTTTTAACCTCTTGGTAAGGCCCGGAGGGAGGTCCCATCCCACACAGTGACAGGGCTTTTCCTTGTGCATCCCAGTAGCAAGAGTTTGGAGTGAAATTTGAATGCAAAACACCACAAAGGGACAAAGGTGTAAATTCCAGGTTCTTCAGAACCCAGGACAAACATTGTGTGAGGCTGGCGCAAGCCAGAGGCTTGCAACACCTGGCATCTTTTCAGATACAGGTCTGAGAAGTCTCTGCTTGACATTAACTGATGCCCCCCATTGCCCCCATATTCCTGGCTCCTTTCTTTCTCCTCTGGAAGACCCTCTGTATTAAGAAGGGAATGAAAAGCAGGAGCATAAAGATGTTCCCAGTGCTGCCATCTCTGCTTAGTGAAATGTGTGAGACCCAGAGGGTCACAAGCCAGAAGGAATTCTGTCAGTTCTGACCAAACCTGCCCAGCAAACACATCCTACAAGGTCCTTCAGGGAACTTATTAGTAAGGAAACCACAGAGATTGTAAACAACCTCAGTGCAGGACACCAAGCTCCAGCCTTTTCTTTTAGAGGCAAATATGAATAATTTGTGCCTGCTCAGGGCCAGAAAGAGCAGCGTATCTCCTGGGAAGAGCCCAGGGCTGAGCATGGAGAACTGGGAATCTGTGGTGGAGCACTGCCACATTCCACACCACGTGGCTGGGAAGTCCTTGAGAAGGGCCATTTCATTTAGTCCCCTTGTTTCACACTTTCCACCTCACATTAATGTTTAACCACCAGCATTTAAAATACTTTGCATTTCAGGAGGAGCAGGGAGCCTGTTTTCCATGGCAGCAATGCCAGGAGCCCAGGACAGGAGAAGGAGCTGAATGGAAGCACAAAGTGAAGAGGTTTCAGCTCAGCTGGTCACTGCTAATAAAACCCCATTCTTACAGTAAAGTCACCCTGTTTGCTCCTCCATTCCACCACAACTCACTCCAATAAATACCATTGGATTTGGAGCATTTCAGTGGCCAGGGCAGCTGTAGGTGCCACAGGCAAGACTGTGGTGGAGATTTTTCCTCTTCAGCAATTTGGCAAAGGACCTACAAAACACTTGTTCTGTTGTTTTCATTCATGGAACTAGCAGGGTTTTCAACCCTGCAAGAGGCAGAAGCCATAATCCTGGCCTTTCCTCACTAGGACTTTCATAATAAGCTGAGGTTTTCTGTGTTGCTCCAATTAGCTTCAAAGGGACTGATTTAGCAGAGCAGGTATTCCAGCCCTCCTGAATTCACCAGGAACTAGAAATGGGCACAAAAGAAAAAAGAATGATTCCTACTCCCCAGTCACTTACTCTTCTTATCAGTCAGCACCAATCCCTCCATGCAACAGAAAAGAGAAGGCACACTCAGGGTTAAACTGGGTTTCCTTTCTCTTTCCAGGCCAAACTAAGGAAGCATATCCAGAACCCCAGCGCTTCGGAGTTGGTACATTTCCTATTTGGACCGCTGGAACTGGTAAATCCTATTTCCACCCCATTAATAAAGCCTGACTGTGAACAAAAGTGCCAGCCAGCTGTGGTTCCCATTGGGAATCTGCCTGCTCTCACCTTCAGGCAAACATGGCTCAGTATTCACACTGAAAATAAGAAGCAGAAATCCTGACATGGAAAAGGACAAGAAGGGACACAGAAATAGCAAGATATTTTTCATTTTTTGAAGTGCCAGCTTGTGATGTCTCTACCAACAGCTCATTTTTAGATCAGACCATGCTTTGACTCCAATATAAAAAATTCTCACATTCCTCTGAACTGTCCAGTCTTCTTCAAAGATTTAGGCTGATGTTTCTTGAGGCGACTGAGCTGATCTCAGGATCAGCTTTGCCTTTGATTGCTGCTCCTTTGTGTGTCTCTGGTTTGATATTTTGACCGTTTCCTGCAAATTCTCTCCTGTTTGTGTGGTTTGTGTGTAACCCAGATCATCAATAGCTGTGGTGGCCCCGAGCTTGCCCGCTCTGTCGTCAGCCCACTTCTTTCTAAAGACGCCACAGATTTCCTCAGAGGACACCTGACACCCAAAGAGATCAACCTCTGGGATTCCCTGGGGGAGACATGGACCAGATCCAGGTGAGGACAGAGCTGCCATCTCACCAGGTTCCCAGTGAAAGGACGATTGATTCTATCAGAGGGTCAAGGATGCCCTGATGCTCCTGCTTCTCCCTCACATGCCTTCAGACACATTCCTTGTGAATCTCACCTCATATTCCCGCTTCATGTCCTAGAGCCGAGTGGCCCCGAGACGCAAACATCCCCACCTACATCCCCAAATTCCGCAACGGCTGGGAACCACCCACAGAAATCTTCCGTGGAGCTCCCTGGGAAATAGACATCGGACACCTGCAGGAGGAGGTTAGTCCTGTGTCCCTGGTGACCCTCTCTTCTCCTTCCCCCTTTTCCAGAGAGATGGATCTGTGGGGGGTGTGGTGGTGTCTAACAAGTAGCAGCTCAAAACTCATTTGGTTCTGGTCACTCCGGTTAAATATGGAAAAAAAATAAGGCTGGAAAGGGGCAGCAATAACCAGCCCCTCCTGATCAAAGGCCACTATCATGTAACTGAGCTCCAGGGATACAGGTTTGCCTGAAGAACGTTTTGGTGTGCGCCTCACGGTGACCAAAAGCTTCCAGGCCACGACTCATCTACCACTGTCCCTCTCCTTTCCCCCTTCCCTGGTAACGCTGACTCCACATCTGCCTTCCCAGCTCTCCTCAGCCAACGGATATCCCTACCGGAACTCCTCACTCAAGCGTGGCCCGGCGGCCGACCAGACACAAGCCGTGGATGCCTTCAAACAGAACGTCACCCAGCACGTGAACAGGTCAGGGATCCTCACATCCCAGCTCCCCCCAGGAACCTCACGCACACACACGGACAGGTACCACAACACCGGGATGTTTGGGCATCCTGGAGGTCACTCTCTGCCACTGTTCATAACCCCCAAGAGAAGGTACAGATCAGACAAGGAATCATTCACCTAAGCACTGTCTGCTGTTTAATCACCACCAGCTCTGCAAGGAAAACGCTTCCAGGTGTTTTCCACCACAAGAGGCAAAAATATTGCCTGACCTCATTAGTCCATCCATAGGTCTTGTTCCCTGCCCCCAGCCCACCAAACTGACACTGTGGATGAGGGGCCACAGGTGCTGCACTGTGCTTCTGCTCTCCGTATATTTAGAGACACTAGAATCAGGGAACCACAGAACGGATTGGGTGGGAAGGGACCTTAAAGTTTGTCCAGTTCCAACCCTCACCTTCCAATAGACCAGGTTGCTCCAGAGCCTGTAGTTCAAAATCACAGCAAAATACCTTAAATCCAATTATATCAGCAAATAACTTATTTCTGTTGTTCACCACATCACAGTTCCTGGTGGGACCCTAAAGTGGTACAGATGCAGGAAAAGAGTGTGTGAAGCAGGGAAAGAATTAGGATCATTTCCCTTCTCCAATTCCAGTTTTCTCAGTTAGGCTGGGAAAAACATAGAGAATTTTGTTTAAATGAGAAGATTTAAGTCTAGTTTTAGTGACTATTAGACAACACACATAGGCAAACACTTCCATGTCCATCAGCACAGGCAAACTATAAATAGCAGTATGGAATCTTGGGATAGAAGTTATCAGGGTGCCTTTCACCAAGGCCACCTCTCCCTGGGACACCCCCCAGTCCCAGCACAGCATGGGCTCACGGGGAGCAGCTGAGGATCTCAGGTGCTGGACCTGTTTACCTGCCTTTCAGACTGTCAGTGGCAAGTTTTCCTCACAGGTAACAATTAAGAAAAAAAAAAAATTCGAGTTCATTGCACTGAAGTTGAGTCTGCCCAGAGTTAGCCACGATGACAGTCCTGGCACAGACCTTTTTCCTGCTGTGCTCATGCTTTTTTCAGAGGAGTCTGAATGAGTTTTCTAGCCAAGAGACCCCATATTAGCAAAAACACCCAGCACATCAGTACTACAGTTATTTACAGGGCTTTTGGCTGCAGAGAAGTGTCCTGAAAGTCCCAGGCAGTACCACAACCATCAGCACGGGTCCCTTGGGCACAATCCAGGTGCACACAGAGCACACACCACCTCCAGTTCCTCCCTCATGACTCATTTACCTTCTGGAATGCCACAGAAGAAGTAATTCCAACCTAACTCGGGCCTTCCTCCCCCTCCCTGCCTTCAGGGCACTGCTGGGCAAGGCCACTGCTCCCTTTCTGGCCAGGTGGATTCAATCTGACTGCTCCAAGCTCTTCCCCACGGTGGAATTACAACTTAAATACTACACGTGGGTGTAACCAGACCAAGAGCTGTCCCAGAGCATGGAATTAAACACAACGCTACAACCACTGGTGTGCATCAAACACTAAACCAGCGATTTCAACATTTTTCAGACCACCAAAAACATATAACAAAGGCAGGAAAATCAATTTAAACTTAGCATAATGGGGTCATTTTTCAAAGCCAGGTTTTACAGGTTCAGAAGAGCTGAGCTTCCACAGTACATGGATTTGAAATCACTGACCAAACCCAGTAAGTCAGAAATGGAAAAACAGTTGCTGGAAGCACTGGTTTCACCAGAACTTGACATAAAGTGGAGGAGAACCTGAGCACCTACTCCAAACCCACTGGGAATATGGCATCAGGTATCTGTGCAGGCTACACATCACAAACAAAAAGATCCAAGTACACTAAAATAGTTCCTCGTATTCCTCCACAAGGCAAGACAGTTTTCCATACAGTAAACATTTTTTGAATTAAAAAAATAACACTACACTCAACTGGAGAAGAAAGTGGGATCTGCAAAATTTTCCCAAGTCAGGCAGAAAAAAAAGAAAAAGAAAAATCATTTCAGTTTGGGTTAAAGAGAATCTTTCATTCTATTTTTTCACCATTTTCAGCAATCTACCATATTTATTTTGTCTCTCTTCAAACAAAAAGCTAATTCAACATTGAAAAGTGTTATGTTCTAGTGGTAGAAATTCCCAAGCAGACACATGAATGCATTTGTCTTCCCCCTCTCCAAATGCATCTTAGAACAGAAACATTCGAATGCACTGTTCCTGGAAACCTGCAGAATTCTGTGTCAGCAGCTCAGTGTTGCCTGATGAAAACCCCACAGATTTCCAGTCAGTTCTGCCTACTCTCATTTTCAGTTCCCTTTCCCCCAGCTTCTCCCTGTTCTGGCATCTGGGGCTGTTTTTTCCACCGATCAGGACAGGAGGGTTTCACACCTAATTCTTCCCAGGTACAATCAGAGTGTTTGGTTCGTGCCCTGTCAGCCCCTCCAGGCTCTAAAAAGCAGTATTTTCTTCACAGCTCCCCACAAAAGACCATTAACCAAACCCCCTACAGCTTTTTGTTTGCTTGTTTGTCCCCAAAACCAAGATCTTTCACTAAAATAAGGGGTGAAAATCTTCCTCAAAAAGAGGAGTAAAGGGATGCTGCCCCTCCACACACAAACAAACTTGCCATCACCACTCTGTTTTACCAGCGAGCCCACTATCAGCATCCATTAAAACTGGGGGTTTCCTCTGCTGCAGGAATTTTGAGGCCCAGGGAATGGCTCTGCCCAAGAGATATGCCAAAATCCGCTACGACTTCACCGCGCGGAACGCCAACGAGCTCTCCGTGCTGAAGGATGAAATCCTGGAGGTAGGTGAGCACGCCTGGGAAAAGCTGCATCCTCCCCTTTCCAGGGGCAGGAGAGACCTCAGGACACCAGCAAAACACCAGCTCAGTTTTCCTCAGTGGTTTCTGAGCGGTTACACCAAGTTTTGCCCAAGTCTGAGGCTGGAAGAGACTGACTGTGTTGGGTCATTTCCTGAGCTAAAACACATCAGTCACCCCTAATTACAATGAGGAGGGAGGAAAACAACCCAGTGCAGTGCCCCACTCACCTCCTTCCTGGGTCTGTGCTAGTTATTACCACTTCCCCCTCCCCAGGGAATTATTTTCTCCGAAAACATCCTTTTTCATAACCTTTCTCTTACTGCAATGCTGTTGGCAGCTGGAGAATGTAGGACACGACTTGGGCCAAACACTCAGCCGTGACCTGAGGAAAAGGTTTCTATGCAAAATACAGCTATTTTTACTTATTTAACGTAAAAAGACAACAGTAACTCAGTCACTGGAAAAAAAAATATGGAGAAACAGGGAAATTGAGCAGGAACTATGAGTTCTTCAGAGGTGCTCTCCTGCTCATCCATCCTTAGGACAAGATGCTTTCCAGGAAAGGTTTCACTCCTGGATTGCACCTAAGAACAACGGATCTACTCTGAGCTCCTGCCCTCAGTGATGTTATTCTGGCAACTTCACCTTCCATGTGGTCCATCTCCACTATATCCCATTTTTGTGTGCCAGAATTCTGTGTTCCCACCAGTAGGTTTATTTTTGTCCCTCTCTCAGGTGTTGGAAGATAACAAGCAGTGGTGGAAGTTGCTCAACCGGAGCGGGCAGGCCGGTTACGTCCCGTATAACATCCTGGATGTGGTGAAGCTGGAAGAGGTGGAACAGGTCTGTAGTCAGGTGGTATCTGACTGGTAGCACCTGCAGGGCACCATCAACCTCTGGAAATAATGCTGTTGTTAGACCCCCCTGGATTTCTTAGGATGCTGTGCCCAGGTCAGGATAAACCCTCACAAGACAGACAAACTCAGGAGATCCCTGAATCTCCTACAATAAAACTCTCACATTCTGCCACGCTCACCTTCCCCCTTCCCAAACAAGTATATCCTTCCCATCTGTGCAGCAGCCCCTTGCTTTCCATAAAAGCAAATTCTTCCATGAAAGTGCCGAGGTTTTTGTTGGAGGTTAAAGACAGACAGTTCCCTCACTAAGTTCAGTGCAGCAGCAGGAACACATTGCTGGAGAGGAGGCAGATGCACACACCATCTAAGTGAGAATTAAGTGAATATTGCACCTTGCAGTGCAAAAATGTAGAGCTGGAGTGCTCTAAATCCTCTAAGGAAGCATGGAATTGCTTCCCCACTTTGGTCTTGTAGAGTTTCAGCAAAGCATAAGGTGGCCCAGCAGGTCTCTGGATAAATCCCTGAGTTTAACCTAAATGTCAAAAAACTTTCCAGACTGCTCCAGGAGCTTGGCAGTGGTCCTGCTTCACATCCCAGTTACAAAGCAGTGAGGCCTTGCCTTCCAGTGGGATTTCTGTTTGTTTTCTCCTCCTGTAAGGATCCTTTTGCTTCCCAAGGAAGCCCTGTGAGCAGTAATTTCTGCATAGCAAGAGGCTAAAGGGCTGAGTCACACATGTGGGAAGTCATGTGCAGCAGCAAGGAAGCACCAACACCACATATGATAGTCACGACATGGGATGTTAATTTTCTAGGGATGTTAATTCCCTCACACAATCCTCAGCCTTTGGTTTGGGTTGCTCATTCCCATAAGAACCCAGAAATTACCTTCTTCCAAGCAGCTCCACCTGAGGTGCCACCAGCCCCACACCAACACAGGGAGAACATGGCAGTTTGTCCCTCTGGCAGTGAGAGGCAAAAAGTTTAAGAAAGTGAAAAATGGCAAAATTCTTACACCTTTTTTTTTCCCCCCTTTTGTAACCAGTCTAACCAGAGGTACAAAGGAGACCTGAGCCCCAGGGGCTACGGACCATCCAGCCCAACTCACAAGCTGCCTGCAAGCTACGCCGGGGACAAGTGGGGCAGTGAGATGTTATCGCGCAACTCTCCCCAGGATGCCAAAGAACGTACGTGTCCCACGTGTCCCACGCTGGGCTCCCCTGGCTCTGGTGCTCCAGGCAGGGGCCAGACCTGCCCATGGTGTTCCCTCTCAACTGCACCTTTTAGTGATCAGCACTAGACCAGCAGTGGGTTTGGAGGAGATTCCAAATGGTACAAGAGCCAAGAGAGCAGCCCTGGTGTTAATGACTCACCTCCCGGGCTCTCAGGGAGCCCAGGACAAGCAGGGCAATAAGTGATTATCATATCCTTCCCTCCAGCTTGACCTTCCTCCTCCTCTTCCCAGGGAGAGAGTTTCCTTTCCCTTCCAAAACATTTAAGTGTGTCTAAGCAACCACACACACTCAGGTCAATCCCTTTCTCTTGCTTCCTTTGCTCATCTGCTGCCACACATGCAGCGCCCACCTGGCCTGTTCCTTCCTGTGGTTCCACAGAATTCCCAGACAAACAGGAGAGCCACATCACAATTCCCAGACAAACAGGAAAGCCACTCCCTCACCCTGCACATGCTTTGGGGGGGTCACAGAGCAGGAGGGAGACCAGGAGCCCTGCTCACCTCACCCTCTTACCCCACCCTGTTCATCCTCTGTGGACTCCTGGAAGCAGGAGCCCTTTGGGACAGTGGAGAGCCCCATATATGAGCACCACGGACACATGTCTGTTCATAACACCAAGTTATTCTCCACATCCTTCAGGAGTTTCATGGGAAAAGTGATACTAGATACTGTGTCACTGGAGTTTTCAAAGAATCATAGAATGGCCTGGGTTAGAAGGGACCTTGAAGATCATCTTGGTCCCAAACCCTGATTTTTAGGAGTCTGTTGCTCACCCCCAGTTTGTGCTTCCTGCCACTGCTGTTCAGCTGTGGAGCAAAACCTGGAGCTCTGAGGACCTGAATCAGCAAATTACTTACTAGAAGCAGCAGTCAGGACTGAAAAAGAACCCAATTCCAAATCTCTAATTGCAGATTCTCACAGAACTGTCCTTCCACATCAGGCAACAGCGAAGGGGTGATATGGGAGGAAAATAAATGGCAACGCAGGGGCAGAGAAAAATGGGAACCTGGTTCTCAGAAACCCCAAATCCATCCCTGCTGACCCCTGCTGCCTCACGTGGGCTGGGGTTCTCCCCTCTTGCTGCTGTGTCTGCAGGACAGTTCCCTTATTTCAGCAGCCCAAAGGGAACTAAGTAACTCAAAAACAGGAAGATGATCAACTGAAGCAAAAAGCCAACAGCAACACCAGACATCAGGGAAAGGGACCCTGTCCCTTGTCACCACCTGACAGCACCGGTGGGAGCAAAGACACTGCCAGATCAGGTTTACACCCTTGAGCAAACCTCAAGCAGAAGCTCGTGGGGGTTGTGGGGTTTCACATCCCTTGGCTGAGGTGTGATGGACAGGGGGAAGTTACAAACGTGAGAAACAAGACTGGTCTCAATGTAAATTTGTATCTAAAACAGGTGAAAATGAGGTTCTCGCCAGTCACACTGCAAGAAACCCAAACCCAAAGCTTCTTAGAACACTCAGCTGTCATTTTTGTGATCCCTCCTCTCCATTCTGGAGAACTGTAGAAATCCCAGTTTATCCCAAAGAGAAAGCAAGGTTTCAAAAGCCGAAGGGAGGAATTGGCTTGGGAGGAAAAGGGAGATCCCCCACTCTGCTCCAGCAGCCTCCAAAACCACAGTGGAGCCCTGTCCACATTTGTTCCTGGTGGAATTCTGAAGGTCAAAATGTCACTGCTCCAACAAAGCACTTAAGCTGCTTCTTTAGAACTAAAATACAAAAGTAAGCACTTTCCTGGGGTGTATTTACAGAGTTAATAAAAATGCTGAGCCACATTCCAATTTTCCTTACAATTTCCCTGCAAACACATTCGTTTAACAGGATTTCTGACTGAAGACTTGATTTCATTCCCTACTTATTTCTACAGAACTTATTCACCAAATGGATGAGCTGAATGACGAGCTGCTAAAGAAGATCACAAACAATAAAATTCAGCCTCCCCACAGGAATTTCAAAGTGGAAAAGCCTCAGGAAGTTTTTGTGCCCCTCACCTTTGAATCCAGCACCGAAGAAGTCAAAGCTTGGCTGGAGGCAAAGTCATTCAGCAAAGAGTAAGATTTGCTTTTTTGCCACATGAAATGCTGCTCCTTTATTGGAAAAGGAGCAGAGCAGGCTACTTGCAACATCTCAACTGTGTGACAAGTCACTTGTATTTACTTACAAAGCCTGTGTTGCAAACTGCATTTCAATCCTGGTAAATCCAGGCTCTGTAACGAGGGCATTCAGAGCCCAGACTCCCTCTCTTTCTTTCTTACACGTAGTTTCCTGGACAAAACTGCATAATAACTAACTAAACCCACGGCCTGAAATGCAACTGGGATTGCAGCTGCCACCTTGGCACAGCTCCAGGGCCTCATGATGTGGCCCTGGTGCAGCACCCAGCCCTTCTATCTCTGGCACAAAGCCATCATCTCCTCCCTTTGTGTCTTCCCAGGACAGTGGAACACCTTGGCATCCTCACTGGAGCTCAGCTCTTCTCCCTCAACAGAGAGGAGCTGAAGAAAGTGTGTGGTGATGAGGGAAACAGAGTATACAGCAAGATCACAGTGGAGAAAAACCAACTGGAGGTAAGTATTTTTCTGGATAATCCCTACTTTACCAGCAGTGTCAAATATCTCATTAAACAGGCATTTTAAGAAACACAATTGAAAGAAACAAAAAACAATGCAACCAAAGCCCACACCAATCAAACACATGTAAAAATTCTCAAGGGGCTTTTAAGCAAAAAGGCCCCAAATCCATAAGGCAGATCCCCATTTCCACTAATTAATCTGCTTTTTGCTAATATAATGTATCTCTTTGAAACTAGCTTGACCCTTACAGCATGAATTAAATACTGTAATTTGCCTACAGCTTGGAGTTCAAATTCAAACTTCCTGTTTTGTTTCCATTGCAGAAAAGCAGAGGGGAGTCAGAGCTCCAAGAAATCATGAAGCGCCGCCAGGAGAGGATTGATTCCGCTAATTAAACCCTGTCTGCTTTATTTCAGCTCTTAGTTCTAGTAGTGCAGAGAAAAAGGGAATGAAAGCAATGATCCCCGGGCCAGGCAGGAGACAGCAGTGTTGCACTTTGGGTCTGGCTGCCAGCAGAGTGACAATTCCTCGAACACTGTTGATAAGGGTTGACAATAAGACCATGTCCCTCTGGGAAAGGTGTTTTAATATTGCATGAAGTATTTTTTTTATAACTACGTATTTTATACTGAAATTTTACGTGCATGCGGTCAGAGCGGGATTCACACGGGTCTGGATGAACGACAAGGGCTGGATTCAAGCAAAAAGAGACCCCACAAAGCTTTTGTCCGAGAGCTGTCCCTGCTCCCACCCCCTCTCCAGCATGGTTTGGGAAGAGCAGGCACGGAACAGCACTGACTGTTTAGAGTCTGGACCACGGGAATAAGGCTCTTCCTAAAATCCTGGAATGGTTTGGGTTGGAAAGGACCTTAAAGCTCATCCTGTTCCAACCCCTGCCATGGGCAGCGACACCTTCCACTAGATCAGGTTGTTCCAAGTCCCATCCAACCTGGCCTTGAACACTTCCAGGGATGGGGAGTCACCACCTCTCCGGGCATCCTAAGGCAACCCCCTCATCATTCCCTCCTCAGAGCAGATATTCCCCTGCACAGGGCCTGTGACAATTCTCTGCCTTCTTTCTCTCCTTCCTACCCCCCTTCCCACGCCCCCTCGTTGGACAAGGCTGGAATGGCAACACACATTCCCAAAGACTGTCTGCTTCCTTAAATCCATAAACCAGTCATTGCTGCCTTTGAACAGTGGAACTGAGATTTCATTGCCTAAAAACAAGCAGGAGTGACAAAGCAAGAGATTTAAATATGGAAATAGGCGAGTTCCCCTCTGCTTAGGCAGAGCCTGGGGCTCAGGGCAGCTGTGCAGCCCTTCCCAGTGACATTGATCCTGATTTGGAATGTTGTGGTGTTGCCAAACCCCGCCTCAAACCAGGAGAAGATAAGCCCTGACCATTTGCTCCCAACCCAGTTACACCCACAGCCCTTCCCAGGGTGTTGGTCACCTGTCCCCACCTTCACAAAGGTTCAGCTGAAATGACTCCTAAATATCTAAAACCCAAAAGCACACTGGGAAAAAGGCTGCTTTAGCACAAAATAAATGGCCACAAAAAAAAAAATAGTAATTTAGCACAGGGTGTTTTTCTTCATCATATTATGTGTATAGGTATATAACAATCTATAAATAGAGGTGAGGAAAAATCCCTCTCCCTAGAGACAGGATGAAGTGATTACACATCAAAATTTTACTCAAGAGTTTACAACTCAAGCAAGTGCATAGTAAGTTTGGCACATTGTATTTCTGTCTCTGTTTAACTTATAGACCTACCTGATGGCAAAGCAGTAAAGCAAACAGCTCCAGAACTGCTCACAGCACAGGGAGAGTTGGGTTTTCTCCTTCACACACCTCACCTTTGGCTGGATGGGATTCAGGTCCAGGTTCCACACTTGTGCTTGCCTTTACCTGCCAGGAATGGTCCTACCTCCTTTAAAGTGCTTGTCTGCACACATTTAATGGAAAAAGCTTTAAAACAGTGTCTGGGGGACTTGTGTCTAAATCTGAGAGCACCAACACACCTCAAGTTTGGCTTTATTCTTCAAATAATGTCTCTTATGGATGATATATTTTCTTTGTTTGAAACAGGAACTGGAGTGCAGGCAGGGAACTTGCAGGGGAGGATCGTCTGTTAGCCCCAACCCTGTTGGAATCTATGAAGGGCACTTACCTTGTCAGGGAGGGATGAAGAGGACAATCCTCCTGAGAAGCCCTGGCTCTGGAGTAGGGTGGAGATGGGAAGCAGGATGGCAAGCACAGGAGGAGAAATAATTCCTAAAATGAAAATAAAACCAAGTGTTGAGCTAGGAAAAACACCACCTTCCTTTCTTTGGGTGTAGAGGAAAGCCAGTCCCACAGAATTATAGTTATTAGGGATTATAAAGGGACTGTATATGACAGTTCTGTAAAGCTGGGAGCATGGGAGCACTTCCTAAAGTAAATATCTCAGCAGACCTTATTGCAGGAGTCACTTTTATAAATTTTCAAGTGACTGAGCTGTGCATCTGTTCTACTTGTACTGCCTACAGACAACGCTATAAAGTCCTGTACATTGATGTAACTGAAGGAAGGAGAAAATGATATAACCATGCACTGTATAAGATTTATTAAAATAGTTAAGTTATAAGTATAACTCCATCTCCGTCTCGTTTCCTGGGTTTTCATAATGGTTTGTCACTGAGTCTCAGAAACTCACCAAAATGTCTGAAACCACACGTTTCCTTTGGGTTTGGGGGACTGGCATTCAACAGGAAGGATGCTGTGGCCTCAATAACAGTATCCAAAAACAGGCTGGGGGGGAGAGAAACCTCACACATGGTAGGAATTGAATGCCAGGAAAGCTGCCAACTCAACTTGTCACATCAAAGAACAAATTTCTCTTACCCCTGGAACATGCAACTGTGTCAACACATCAGTGTTTTCACACTGTCCAGGGCTGCATTTTGCACTGGCAAGCTAAAAATCCCCAATCCTGGTCAATGCCAGCTTAGGCACAGCACGGAGCAAAGAGATGCCTCTTTGCATTATCCTCTCTTGGGCTGGGCAAAGCATGAGAACGCGTTAAAAAAGCACGTTCTTGGTTATCAGGAAGGGAAACTCCAGCGGCAGCTTACACGATTGGAACAGTACAAAAAGAGGGGACAGCACGACTCAGAGCCTGTTAGACAGCCAAGTGACAGATTCTCTGACATTTCCAGCCAAGTTCCATCCTCTGTTTCAGGACCACGACCACGTTAACAGGATGATCTTTTCTAGAACCTGAAGACTAGAACCTGAAAAAAGCTGTAGTGAATGAACAGCCCAAACCACGTGCCTTGCTGGGTTGAGGGCTCTCTCACAGGCTGGAGCTGTGGCTGACTAGCCATTTCGAGCCTTGCCGCGACAGCAGGGGAGGAAACAGAAAGCGCTGAGCTCCTACAGCGGGCGAGCACTTCCCTCAGCGCTGCCTCCCCCTCACAGCCCGTCCGCCATCTTGTGCCAGTGGCGGCGCCGCGACCCCGCGCGGCCATGAGGGACGGGTGGCTCAGGGGAGGCTCAGGCGCTGTGCCCGGCCGTGGGGAAGCCCCCAGGGGAGGTCCAGGGGCCGGGAGATCCCAGCCCGGCAGATTCCGGGGTGAGGAGCTCCTCCAAGCCCACCCTCCGGGGGCAATGGCGGCATCAGAGTCGCCAAGGCGACCCCCCGCCCCGACCTTCAGAGCCATGACCCAGCCAATCAGAATCGCGCTCCCTCCCGCTGCCCCGCCCCGGCTCCTGCCGGCCGGGTCCGCCCTTGTGTCAGCGCTCCCGATTGGCTGGCCACCCCCCACCTCGGGCCGGGATTGGCGCGGGTGCCGGGAGCGCGCGGGCGGCGGGTGCGCGCGCAGGCCGGTCCCCTCCGGGCACGCAGAGTCCCTTATAGGTGGCCAGAGTCCCCCAGAGCCGCCGACATGTCGGTGTCCCCCGTGAAGCGGCAGAAGATGGAGTCGGCGCTGGACCAGCTCAAGCACTACACCACGGTGGTGGCCGACACCGGGGACTTCAACGGTGAGGGGCGGCGCGGGGGGGGGGGTCCTGTCAGTGCACCTTCTCCTTAACCCCCACCCCTCCCGGCAGAGTGGGCGCGCCCGGCTAAAGGGGCGCGCGGCGGGGGCAGAGCGAACCACCCTGGGGCGGGGGGGGGTGGCCGCTCGTCCATTCCCGGCCTCTGCAGCCGGCAGGGCAGAACCCGCCCGCCCGCCCGGGACATTTTCCAGACCCTCCCGTGATTTTCTGCTCGTGTGCCCAAACCCCCACGCTCAGCTCCGCGTGCTGTCACAGTAGGAACTGCCACACTCTAACCGGGCTCTGAATTCGGGCTTTTTTCCAGCGACCTGTCTGGATTTGGGACTTCTTTGGGGTTTTTTTCAAACTCAAGGCCAGGTTGGACGGGGCTTGGAGCAGTCTGGGCTAGTGGAAGGTGTCCCTGCCCACGGCAAGGGGTGGAAGTAGACGATCTTTAAGGTCCCTTCCAACCCAAGCCATTCCAGGATTCCATAAAAATAATGCCAAAGTGCATTTGTTCCCCTTATCTCCTGGTAATGAGCCAGCATGCTCCTTTCCGAGAAGGGGAGGTGGCCTTCCATTATAAAGCCATTTGTTCCCAAGCTGTCACTACCCAGTGCCCTGCTTGGTCCATCGGAGCCAAAAAATCCCTCCTGAGTATCTCTGGGTGGCGTAGAACAGCCCTGGAATCCCATCCTGCCCTCCCCAGGCCTGGTAATCCCTAATCCTGGATGTGTAATAATAACCAACCCCACATGGGAACTGTCAGGTGTCTCAGGGCAGTAAATTTAAGGTGAAGGGAAGAGGCGGCAGCAGCTCAGACAAAAAAAATACACCGTGTGGTGGCCGAGGGGGTGGTGACGTGCAGGCAGCTGGAAGGACCAGGGAATATCCCACAGGGATCACTAAGTCCAGCTCCTGGCCCTGTGTAGGACACCCCCAGGTTGTCCTCTGGCTGCCTGTTGTTACCTGGGGGTCTTTCTTAGAGCCCAAAACAAGGCAAGAATCCCACCTGGCTCCGCTGAAGGTGCAGTCTCTGCCGACTCTGGTTCCCCATTGGGTTCGGTACAGAGCAGGAGTTTCACTGAGGTGCTGCTCCTATTTTAAGCCGTGTCCATGTGAATTAAAGTTCTGAAGGACCTCCCCAGGATCCTGATCGTTGCCTGGGAGGGATCTGTGGAAAAACAAGACTTATTTTCAATACAGTTGCACAGTTTCAGTACAGTTGCACTCTCTAACTTTGGGGGTTCATTCCTGTGCAAAAAAAAAAAAAAATGCTGAGGAGAAGGAGCTGCTAATAAGTGTTTTGTTATTTTTTGACATTTAACTGCGTTGTTGAAACTGCTGAGGGGCCTGCAGAGGCTCTGCCCTGTTTGCCCAGCCAGGCTCTGGTGCCGGGCTGTGATTACAGCCAGACAATGTAAGTCACAGCCTGCTTTGGTAAACACTTGGCATCACCTGGAATAGGTGCAGTCCAGGGCTTAAGGTAAAACAAAGGGTCAAATACCTTCTGGAGAGGAGAAGGCCTGGTAGTACAAGGAAACAACAAGGACATTGAGAAACTACAACTATTTGGAAAAGGTTTAAAAAGCAGTAAGAGAAGTTGCTGTTCATCTGTCCTGGTCCTATCCTTGGACACAAACAAGAGCCCGAATTCCTGACTGCTAGAAGGGAAGATCCCCTGGTCTTTACTCCCTTCTGTGATTCCTGAAGCTCAGTTTTGCTGGCTGGGATATAGTTGGAAATCAGCACCACTTCATCATTTCTACAAATCTGTACCTTTTGGGCAATGTCTGTTGTTTATAAAATTTGAAGTTTGCTGTATTTCATTCCTGCAGCCCAGTTCTGTACCATGGCACAAACACCTCTGAGCACTGGTGTGCTCTGTGATTACCAGACTCTACAGCCACAAGTGTTTACATCCTCAGCCACCTGAGCAAAATCCTTCTCATTTCTGAGGCTGGCTGGTTGTTTTAAACAGCCTGGTTTTCCTTCCTTAGCCATCGATGAGTACAAGCCCCTGGATGCCACCACCAACCCCTCCCTGATCCTCGCCGCGGCCCAGATGCCGGCGTACCAGAAACTCATGGATGATGCTGTTGCCTATGGGAAAAAGCTTGGTGGGTAAGTCAAGAGGGCTTTAATCTCAGAAGACCTATGTTTAAAATGCCTTATTTATACAAGCATTGTACCAGGGTTTCCCCCTCGCGTATTTGTGGGTTTATCTCCTGCCCCAAAAAAGCCTCAACACCGAAAGAAAAATTCCTTATGTTTGTTCCACGTGTGCCTCCCTTTTTACCAGCTCACACGCAGCCTTTCTTGCACAGGAAAACAGCAGCTTTATAGGAAATAATGTCCAAAGGCTAATCCTGCCAGCAGCGACAGAGGGCAGGACACAAACACAGAGCAGAGCATAAGTGGCTCATTTGAACTCTGGAATTTAATGTTAAACAGGCTGTGAAATTTGATCTTCAAATCCATAGTAAAGCATAAACATACCTTTTTTTTTCCCCTCCCTTATGCTTTTGCTTCTTGTGGTTTTCAGGTCAGAAGAGGAACAGATCAAAAATGCTTCTGACAAACTTTTTGTATTGTTTGGAGCTGAAATCCTCAAGAGGATACCCGGCCGCGTGTCCACAGAAGTAGATGCAAGGTTGGCTCTTTTCCCTCTGGGTTACCCTGGATATTTGTACATAGAAAAAGAGACACGATGTGAGCTGGAGAAAGGTGCTCTTGCCTATAAGACTGTCAGGATTTATATTGTTAATATTTAGAAGTGCGGCTTTCCCTTAGTTTGAGTAGAACTCTGTAAGAAAAACAAGTAACACCGACTTTGGATTTTCATAATCTTCCTGTTGTTTCTCAAGCCAGGGAAGCCTCGTGCTTCCACTCTTAGTTTTGCTCATTCTTTTCTCTGTGATTGTATCTGCTCAATTTAGCAGGAGATCTGTTTGAACAGTTTATTTCAAGACTTGCACAGGATTTGTCTGTTAACCTGCTCACTGCCAGGTTTTTTTTTAATGCCCAGCTTCTGAATTCATTATGAAAAACTTCCTCCTCGGGGGGCTCAGAGTCCAGGAGGGATCCTAGAACAAAAACCCGCTGCTGGCACGTTTTTGTCCTGATAAAACAGGACAATGTTTTTCCACGGAGCTTGGGGGGGAAGCACATAAAACAAATAATCAGTTCTGAGCAGCCCTGCTCTTGTCTCAAAGGTTGTCCTTTGATAAGGAAGGAATGATTCAAAGGGCCAGGC